TGTGTGTGTGTGTGTGTGTGTGTGTGTGGGAACCAATAACTTCATGAGGCTGTGTAGTGTGCTGTCTGTTTAATAAACCTGTTATTTTGAAACCCCGAGTTGGGTTTCTGTCTGTTTCCTGACTGTTTCTTCCTTGTCACCACTTATCTGCCCCCCAGTCTCTAAGCTGCCAGCCTGTTTCCAGCCCCAAGCTCCCAGGTTTCTGCCTCTCTCTCTCTCTCTCTCCCCTGGCTGTCTCCTCCTTGCCACCACTTATGTGCCCCCCCCCATTATTTCAGCTGTCTGCCTGAGTTTCCAGCCCCAGTCTATCTTAAGTAACCCCAAGCCTCAGTTCCTCAGCCAGCTTCTGTCTAGTCCACCAGTTCTAATCTCAGTTCTGGCAACTTCCACTCCTCACACTTTAACTCTCTCTCTCTCTCCTTTACTTTCCCCCAAGTATCCCAGGTACCCCAAGCACACACATATATACTGTGCCATCCAAGTTAGGAACTTATCTATGTGTAGGTGGGTTGTATGTGTGTGAACTGGTGAGTTAAAGTGTGTGTATATATGTCTTGTGTGTATGATATATGAATTAGTGATCTGAGTGTGCGGGTATGGACCATTGATTTTTGTCTAACTTTTGGGGTGTATAGTGTATGTGCTCGAATTGGTGATAGGTATGCATGTGCCTAGGCTAGTTTGGATGTGTATGTGCCTGAGTTGGTACTCTGTGTGTGTGTGTGTGTGTGTGTGTGTATGCATCCAATTGATTTGTGTGTTTGTATATGTGCAATTGTGTCACACCCTCCTGTCTAACAGCGCAATATGGAGATCTTGAGAGTTGGCCTGACCCCAACACTGGTGCCGAGCCTCAGGCGTTGTGACACTCAGAACCAGAGATGAAGAGCTCAGCCCCAGCCTGCAGCTGCAGCCCGCCCTACCCTGCGCAGATCCGGGGGGCATGCACCCCCTGTGCCTCCTGAGTTGCAGGTAGCAGTAGGAGCCACACCTCCCCCTCCCCCCACAAGCCACTTGGGGCTCAGTTCCGTGCCCTGCCCCGAGCACCTGCCCTTCCCTCAGTCCTAGCCCCACTCCCTCCCTCCCTCCCTCACTGCTGCCTGCGCACCCTCCTGCACCCCTGCTGCGTCCATGGCCGGGCTGCCTTGTGGCCCAACCACTGCCCCGCGTTTGCGAGGGACTAAGCCCTGTTAGTCCCCCTTCCATTGCCTATGGTGGGAACAAGACCTGCCTTGACACACTGCAGCATTATATACTGTATTTGAGGTCAGCACCCTGGAATGGCAACATAGGGCAGGGCTGCAGTTTCCAGGTCCCCCTGGCACTCTGGCCAACTGCAGACCTGCCCTATTTCTGAAAGGGGAGCCAGGGGAGGGGCACAGCCACACTCACCTGGCAGCAGGTCCTCCAACCTTGAGATTTTCCCACCATCCTCATCATCACAGGCCCAGAGCTCCACCTCTCCTCGCTGGATGCGGCAGATTAAGTCAGGTGTGGGACCTTGATATCCTGTTTAGGGTGGTAATTAAAGAGGGTTTGTGACTTAGTAGCGGATGCAGAATAACCCACCGGGATTTGGGGAATGGATCCAATGAGCTCAAGGTTTTTACTATGGTCTTAATGGACAAGGGAGGATGGGCATTTAGGATGGATGAGAAGGCGCTGCAGAGAGAAGCCTTCATTAAATGATGCTCCTGGTCACCCAGGCAGTGGTGGGATGGTCACAGGAAACAAACTACCGAACACTCCTGGAATAGAAAGGGCATTAAACTGACAGAGTCATCATGGACAGGTGTGGAGACTCAATGATCTGTGATGTACTAGACAGCAGAAAGATAAAGCTTTTACTGTTTTCAAGGTACCAAAATGAAAAGACAGTGGATGCGTTTACAGATGGAAAACATTTATCTTATCGGTGGAATTCCAGGCAAAGGAGTGGAAATGAGCATCTTCTCAGGAAAGAGCTGAAGTGAGGACTCATGGCAGTGAAAAGAATCTGTGACAGATGGTTGACAAGGAGACTTTTTTTCTGGGAGAGACCAATTCAGCATCACCAGGCCACAGGAAAGGATTATTTTATAATAACTGTAGCAACAACTGAGCAATCATGCTATCCAGTGGTAGGATCAACCCAGGAGTGGAGATAAGTGCACAGGTTGGCAAATACTGCAGCGTTTAACACAACTGTGAGTCATGAATCTGGGCAAAAGAAGGCAGAAAGACACACAATGTACAGCATGTGAAAGCCCATAATGTAGAAATGGTCTACATGGTCTTTGTTGAGCTAGAGCAATCATTTGACCACTTCCTTACAGAATCCTCTAGGGGAAATGGAGGGGAAAGAAAGCATCAGAAAAGACAACTAACCTAGTAAAAAGTGAAGTACCTTGACACTGCACACACGCCAAAACAAGCCCTCGTATTAGAGATCTTCTGGAAATGAAAACTGGTTTTCACTAGGCCCTGCACCTAGCCCACTTCTTCTTATCACAGTGATGGGTGTGTGATCTGCAAAGGGATTTTAGGAGGAGGACAAGAAAACATTTGAGAATAGCAGAATGAGCTTGAGAGCACAGGTTTTAATGTAAATAAAGCAAAGCCAAAGTCTGATCTATGGAGATGAAGATGTTGGGAAGGACTGTGGACAGAAGCTTCCAGTGACCCCATGACAGAAATACCTGGGATCCATCACATGTACATATATCCTAAGAGGAGATGTAGAAACGCATCATCCATTTGTTGTAGCACCAGAGGCTGATAAGACTTCTGTTAACTTCTGCTGGGTCATAACCAAAGGAGGAGAAAGGGAATTTAGACATCACAGAACTGGCCATGCTAGGATTGATAAATGTGTTTGGACAGGACACACTAGGCAAGAGAGGGAGGAAATCAGAGCCATTCCCCAGAAACAGCTCTTAGTACATTTATGTACAATGAGTTGGAGACAATATGAACACGCTGAGAAGGCAAAAGGAGATCATGTTGCCCAGAAACTGATGCATATGGAAGCAACAGGAGTTACAACAATGAGGAAGACTCAAGTGAAGGTGGCTGGATCAAATGAAGGAGCGTATATCAATATGAAATGTGAGACAGGCCTGATCACTGACAGCAGTGGGGAAGAAGGGGATGTAAACCTCCAGCCTCCAAAGTGCACGAGGACGAGACTTGTTGAAACACAGGGAGAAGACAATGAACTTTAGAGCTCATATAGGAGAAGCAAAAACCAGAGCTTTACCCAGGGAAACGAGGGCTTGGTAATTCTTCAGCATCTGGTCCCGGTAAAGCACCTTGTCTTCATCTTCCAGGAGCTCCCACTCCTTCCGTGTGAAATACACTGCCACCTCCTCAAACACCTTCGGGAGCTGCAGTCACAAGCATTACACCATCAGTGCCTCCTGTTCCAGCTGCTTCCAGCCGCCACAGCCCTATTTGCAATCACTTTGTACTACAGCTAATTGCAGACTTAGCCACGACAGGTAGAGGTGCAAAATTCCCCAGGATTCAGCTGACATGTGATGTGGATGCAGCTGTAGACATAGGAGTTTGTGTGTCAGCCTTAGCCCAGCTCATCACGCTCTATTTGCTTGGCCCCTTGAGGCAGCCTGGGCAGCACTTTTAGGGGCAGGGAGCCCCGGCTCCATGCACACTGACCAGGCCTTCTCATGCCAGCACCCCTGGCTCTCTGCACTTGGGAGGGAGCTCCTGCAAATGCAGCTTGGTGTGTTTGCAGCCCCCATCACCATAGGCTTGTCTCTCTTCAGGACTCCCCGCTCCCAAACTTTTTACAGCACCCCTGGGCTCTGCCCCAGCTGTACTCCCTCCCCTAACTGGACCCGGTGCCTTGCTCACCTCCATGGTCTCCCCCTGGTTTGGAGGCCTGCCCTGCTCCTTCTCCACTTGGCCCGGCTCATGTGTCAGGGAGTCCTTCTCCTCCAGTCTCCCTGGGAAAGCCCTCTGTAGCTCCATGATTACAGGTCCCTCCTCAGGAGGCTGCTGCTGGGCTCTCGTCAGGGTTGCAGCACCTGTGGGGTGGGGAAGAGAGCGCACAGGTTAGTCCTGGTGCTGCTGGCACAGGGAAAGCCCTGCTCGTCTCCTGGACTGGCTTGGGATTAAGGCAGATGGAGGCTTCAGTGTGTGGAAGTGGGAGGAGGACGACTCAAAGCTGCACAGCTCTTGCTAACAGACCTCCTTGGGCATTAGGCTGGAGATGAACTTCAAAAACTGTTCCAGCGTCAGGTGGTGATCACACCACATCAGAGCCTGCAGGGACATTGCTCCCTGGGAAAGAAGCTCAAGGGATGTTGGGGCTGTGTCAGCCTCCACATGTTAAGGGAGAGGGAGGGGAAAGATAAAGTCAGTTTTCTCCAGGGCATGTGAAATGCTTCCAAAGGCACCGGAGAACAAGAACAGCTGATCTGTTGGAGCACTGACCCCACCAAAATGTTGTGGCTGAGAGTTTTCTCCACCGAGGGACGGTGCCTCCTGTTGCTGGAAAGGGGAGAGTCAGCGCTTCTTACCTGCTCCTGAGAAAGGGCCTTGTCTGGGGCACCAGCCTGATGAGCTTTCACCTGCTGACCGCTCCCAGCTCTCCTCTGTTTTGGGGGAATTTGCAGGATAGAGGCCTGGTTTAGTTGTACATGAGCCAGCATAAGCCACTGGGGAGTCTCATTTCCCCGACACCTGCACCAGCCCCTTTTTGGGCACAGAGAGCTCATGGGGGCATGAGAGAGGGGCGAGCTGAACATTGATCGTCAGAGCATCAATTAGATCATGGATTGTTACCACAGCAGCACGACAGTGCCCAAGCAAGACACAGCCTCTCTCCGCTGGGAGCTGCACACATGCCATGAGAAAGGTCAGGGAGCTGCCCACCCACAGAGATCAGAGATGGGTCCCAGCTCAGCCACCTGGTTATGAATATTGGAGCCCTGCCATGGGCAGAGGCAGACGTTCGAGCCTCTCCCCCTGCATGCAGGACAGCCACTCCAGCACCCAGACCCATGCCCAGGCCTCCAGCCTGAACCTCACCCGACTCCTGGTGGGGTGGGGGCTCCTCTTTGGGGACACCGGGTTGCTTGTCACAAGGCCCCGGGGTTTCCCTCTCTCCTGACTCCTCCAGCGGGTTGTCCACACGATTGGTCTTTGGTTGCTCCGGCCAGGAATCACCAGGTTCTTGCAACGCCCCCATGTGCTGCATCTTGTCCAAGATCATCTCCTCGACCTTCACACGCACTGTGACCTGGGGATGAGAAATAATGTCACTGGAGAGCCAGGATCTAGCAGAGATGGGGCTGGGAGAGAACATCCCCCAAGCACATGGAGACAGGGACAGCAGCATCCATGATCAGGATGAAATGTTCTCACCTGGAGCTCATCCTTTTTCTTCCCCAGCTGAAACCCCTCGGCCACGGCCACGGCCTCCGCGCAGGTCTCCATGCTGCGCCCCCACTCCCAGCTCTGCATCTCCTGGGGCAGGATGGCCAGGAACTGCTCCAGCACCAGCAGCTCCAGGATCTGCTCCTTGCTGCGGCGCTGGGGCAGCGGCTCCTTGCTGCGGCGCGGGGGCCCCAGCCAGCGCTGGCAGAGCTCCCGCAGGCGGCTGCAAACCTCCCGCGGCCCCTTGCCTTCCAGGTAGCGGAGGCCCCGGAAGCACTGACGCCAGGTTTCTGGGGTGGGGAGGTCGTCCCCTGGTGCCAGCTGTGGGGTGTCTGGGGGAATCTCGGCCTCGGATGGGGGCTGCATGGTCCGCATCACCTTCTGCCCCCGGATCTCCTGGCGTTGGACCGGCTCCTCCGACCACTTCAGGGACAACCCCTGGTCCCACCCTGGATGAGACGAGGGACTTATCTTGCCCCCTCAGCTCCTGCCTGGAGCCCTCCGGAGTACTGCTCCTCCAGCTACATCTCCGGCTGCACCAGGGCTGCAAAGGGAAGGGCCACCATCTCCCCCAGCCGGGCTCTAGCTCTCCCTGCACTCACGCACGGATCTGCCGACAGCCTCCGGTCTCCGAGGCCACCTGTGGGAAAGGAGACAGCACAGACTTCACCACATGATGGGAGAACAGGACCGTGACCCTGTCCTGTCCTTGACACCCCCAACCTCAGGGGCATCCTCGCTTCCCCTCCTGCCTACACAGCTGGCTCCAGAAGTGCCCCAACTGCAGCTCCCCGCCACCCCCCAGCCTCTGCCAGGCCCTGCAGCACCCGCCTGGGCAGCATCTCCAGTGTCTCCCACCTGCCCCAGACAACTGGCCCCACAGGACTCCTCCACCATGGTCCCTCAAGCACTCCCACAGCCTCCCCTCCCCTCCACCACCGCATCTGCCCCGCCAGCCCTTCGCACAATGCCCTGCACGTGGCCCTGGGCCCCTTCCCCAACTCCCACCGATGTGACTTCATCTCCCCTCCCACCCCAACCCGTGGGAGGGAAACGTGCCAGGGTCCAGAGTTCCTGTGCCGCTCTCAGCACAAAGCCCCCTTGAGCCCTCCCCATCTTGGGGACATAGCAGCTGACCCCCCAGCCCTACCAGTGCCCCCCACCTCCCAACCCGCACTCCCCTGTCCCTGGTGCCCCTCACTCCCGACCTGCAGCCCGCGCTCCCTGGCAGCTGCCACCTTCCCCTTCTGCTTCCCCTGATGACCCCCAGGCAGATGCATTTGCTGCGCAGCTGCTGGAGCTGGGGACAAGCCTGTTTGTGCTCAAGATAGGACACGGGCCAGTGCCCTCCTGCAAACTACCAGCCTCCCTTGCTAAGGCAGGTTGCAATGGGCACTTGGTGAAAATAAAGACAAAGGGAAGTGGGGAGGTGGAGGCTGCAAGGCTGAGGCCCGAGCCAGACCTGCAAGCTGCAGAGTGCACAGCGGGCTCTGGGCTTATTGCTTGGATGAGGGTCAGGCGGAGGCAGTGATGTCCTTGGCCTGGTGCTGTGCCACACAGTCCCTGCAGGAGCTCTGGGGCTGAGCCTGGGGCAAGCAGCTGAGGGTGGCACTGGGGGAGTTGGGAGATGAGGCAGGGGCTGCGGGACCATGCCAGGCAAGGGCTCTGATAGCAGTGATGCACAGGCAGGTGGGTGCTGCGGGAGATGGGCCAGGAGGGGCCATATGAGGCTGAGCCTGTTAGGACATGGCCGTGGCCTGGGGGATGCACATGACACTGGGCGGCGGGGAGGAGGGTGCAGGAGCCATAGTGGCCTGCACATTGATGGAGCCAAGGGCAATGCAGGCCCCAGGGAGGGTGGTGGAGAGCCAGCCCCCTCCCCACCACCTGTGTCAGGGCAGGCTGCAGGCTGGCAAAGTGGGTTGTGGTCTGGCCTCTCCCATCACATCTTTGTATCTCCCCCTTTCCCCTTGTTCGGGGTGCCCCTGTCACAGGTCTATTCACACCAGTGAAAAGTCCCATCACCCAGTTTCTGGCTGGGGCTCGGGGTGAATGAGAGCCAAGCTTTAGGTGGCACAATGCAATGCCCAGGCTAGGTAACAAGAGCCTGCCGGAGGTGGGGACGTGCACTTTGGGGTGACCCAAAAAGGATTTGGCCTTATAATCCCTTCCAAAACCCAGCTGCTTCTTGGGAGTAACATTATGACACAGGCTTCAGGGGCTCTCAGTTGTCAGGGTGGCAGCATTGGGTCCAGCAAGCTTTTTAGGGAGAGTCCCACAATGGCAGATTTGTGTGGCTTAGGGTGCCCCAAAGTGGGTTATGTCCTGTAATCCTAGCCCAAAATAAGACCCTTATTTGGCACAATGCACTCAGCATGCAGGTATTGAGGGGTGGGTGGCAGGGGGCACCCAAAAACCGAGCATTGGGACCTGCCCGGGCTTCTTCTGGAGAGGCTCTGTGAGGTGGAGGGGAGCATTTTGGGGAGACCCAGAACGGATGTGCCCCATAATCCCAGCCAGATCCCGGGTCTTTTTTCAGGGCCAAGTACATGATTCTACATTTTTATGAGCCCATATACATTTTAATACCACCTCCAAGACAGACCAGCCCTCCCGCCGAACAAGTGAGACTCATTCAAAAAGAAGTCACAAGGTTATTTTCTTAAACACTATAATGCAGGGAAAGTGAGGGCTGTTTTACACACAGGAAGGGTGGAGGGGAGGAAATCAGCTGAGAGGACAAGTATCGAGGATATGAAAGTGTGCTCCAGGATGGGTTACTAACCTCTTGGAGTAGCCCGTACAGGACAATCACGGAGCCAAAGGGCTTTGGCACGAGCAGAGGCGCCTCGGTATTCCCAAAAGGAGATCATTACAGTCTCTGAGCACCTTACCGCGCATAAAGGTATTTATTTGGCTGTCTGTATTTGCACACATTGAGGTGTGGACAATGTATGGAGCAGATTCTTCAGGGCATACCCCCAGGGGTACACGTACCACAGGTTGAGAAACGGGGTACGTGTGTACCCCAGCACACTCCCTCTCTCACCCTCTTTTCCTCCCAAAACTATGGCAAAAAATTTGGTGTGCTGCACATTAAAATTCCCCAGTAATAATTTGGCGTGCCTGGGTTCAGCCCTCCTAGCTTTGGGCAACATCACCTCTAGGCCAGGTACATGCTTGATTTGTGCACCTCCGGTGTAAAAGGTGGCAACCCTACCCACACCAGATCAGACATCTGTCCTATTACGGCCTTATACACACAGCCCTTCTTCCAACATACAGCACACGTTAGTCTGTAAATACAAAACCCCCTGGAAAACTGAGGGCGGGGGTACTTATTGACATTTTCAGAAGTTAGGGGGTGCTTGCTACTTAAAAGGTTGAGAAACACAGCTTCAGGGAAGGTGTCTGTCTATCATGGTTAAAGTTAAAACAAGATAAAGAAAGGAAGGCAACAGCGAATGAGCCTATCCGCTGGTTAGAAGGCTGTCGGTAACATCTGATCCTATTTTAAAGATCATCTGGATATGCCAGGAGCACAGCCGACGGGTTTTCGGCGCACAGTCGTTGCTCCACCCACAGAACAATTGAAGGATGTCGCCAGCAAAGATCATTGCTACATGCACCTAAAAAAAAAAGGGGTCCCCAGGGCAGTCACAGGCTCGCAGCAACATAAATGAACTTTTGTGCAGTGAAACATGCAGGCAGATGTCGTCTGGCTGGCGAGCGAATCAAGGCCGTAGCAAAAGCCTGGCTGGCCTGCACTCCAGGTCCCGCGTGTAATGATTCGGGTCCCGCAGCGAATACCGACACGGAGGAATGAGGAAGAGAACAGACCTTTAAGGACAGCACAGGAAGGGCTCCTCCAGCACAGACCATGTGGCTGCCTCCATCTTTATTCTCCTCTCCTCCAGGGATCCTGTGCAAATTCCTCACCGATGATAAGACGTTTCCTTGTAAGGGACTGTCTCCAAAGTCTAACCCTCGTCACTACGTTTCCCCCCCTCCTTTTTTTTTTTTTAAATAACCACCACAGTGTAACAACAAAAACTCCCCAACAACAACACATCAAGCACGCAAGACAAAACCACCAAACCATCCAGAACTAGGCCTGTGCGAAATTGCGCCCCGTGTTTCATTCCAAATCTGTTTCAATACGTTTCGACCTTGAAACAACGACATCGAAGCAAAACAAAAGGCTTCAAAAGGAAATGAGGGCACTCAAAATGTTTCCAAGCCGGGCTTGCTGCAGCTAAACAGAAACTAAAGAGAGCGAGGGGGAAGAGGAGGGAAGGACTGCTCTTATATTGACATCTAGCTCCTGGTTCGATTCCCCTGCTCTCTGATTGCTCACCCCCACTCTCTGATCACTTCCTCCCACTCTCTGATTGCTCACCCCCACTCTCTGATCGCTTCCTCCCACTCTCTGATCGCTTCCTCCCACTCTCTGATCGCTCACCCCCACTCTCTGATCTCTTCCCCAGCTCTTCCCGGGAGCGCAGGCTCTCATTCTGCATGCAGGGGTTTAGCAGGCTGCTGCTGAAACTGCAGCGGCAGCCTGTTGAAACCCAGCATGCAGATCTGAGGGGCTGTGCCCCCCAGGAAGAGCTGGGGGAACTGAACAGGGGACTGGGGGATGGCCCTGGCTGTGGGGCTGTGCCAGACTCCTCCTGGGCATGCAGGCCCCCAGATCTGTGCACGGGATGACAGAAGGCTGCCGCTGCCAGCTGGGACTGGCACTGGGCGCAGCCCATGCCGAGAAGGGGGAAGACTGGGGCACAGCCCCGCAGCCAGGGCCATCCTTGGAGGGGAGCGAATCAGGGCGACTGCCCCAGGCTCTGCACTTTGGGGGGCCTGCAGAGCTGGGGCCACAGCAACTCTGCACCGCCACCAGCTTAGCGTCCAGCCGCTCGCTACCCCTCCCCACTCCTGCTGCCAATGCTGCCACTGCTACCGGCAGCAGCAACTTCTTCACATCTAGGGCACATGGGACCCACATGGGCTGATTTGCCCTGCACCCTGCACCCTGCTTGGGTCAGCTCTGCCCGCAGCCCTCCTGGAGGGGCACAGGCCCCCAGATCTGCACACGGGATGACAGCAGGCTGCCACTGCTGGCTGGGGCCGGTGGCAGCACCAGGCTTCCCGGCACACAGCCTGATGTCATCCCGTGCGCAGATCTGGGGGCCTGCACCCCCCGAGAGGAGTCTGGCACAGCCCTGCAGCTGTCCCAGGGGTGCAGGCCCCTAGATCTGCATGCGGGATGACAGCAGGCTGCTGCTGACGGCAAGCGATACGAGTTTTGCTTTGAACAGTTAGGTGCACGGGTTTCTAGGAAACTGCACCTCAATCTCCTTGAAACGTGGCAGGCCTCACACCCTCAGAACGGGCTACCGTCCCTGCAATTTTCATCTGAATCAGGCAGGAAATCACAGTTATAGGCATTTTCATGATTCCCCATTATATCCTATGGGTGAAACGCTGACATGAGTTGAAACAGCGAAATGGTTTTCTTCTTTTATTTGTTGTAGCCTCCTGTCTGCGCTTGGAAGTGAACTCTCAACTCGACATAGGCTTGAATCTCTGTCTCGGAGGTCTTTTCCACTTGTCCAGTGGTGGCTATTGCCCTGGACAGCGCATCTGCTGTAAACAGAAACTTGCCAGGTGTGTTGTTCGCAGTGAAGTCATACTCCTGCAGCTTAAATCATCATTCTTCGAACCATCGGTCTTAACCATCGTTCTTTGAATCCTTAAGGTGCAGTCGATCGGAAGCTTGCAAAACAGTGCTATCACGGGCTTGTGGTCTGTTTCTACACTCACTTTCTGCCCGTAAATATATTGACTGAATGTCTAGCATGCAAACAAAATTCCTAACAACTCAATCAGTGCATACCTGCTTTCTGCCTCAGTTAGTGATTTAGATGCATACGCAATGGGTTGCCATCGGTTGTTAAAATTCTGCAGTAGCACAGCACTGGATCCCAACTGCGAAGCATCTGGTGATATCTGTACTGGTTTCCCAGGGGTATTGAATTTTAAGATAGGTTCTTGTCTTAATTGTTGCTTCAATGCCTTTCATGCCTCCTCCTGTTCTGGACTCTCACGAAGCATCCTTAGAGGTGCTGCTGTTGTAGACAGGTTTGGTAGGGACCTTCCAAGATAATTTACCATTCCTAAAAAGCATCGCAAGTCTTTTTTGACTGGGGGAGTGGCATCATTTCAATAGCCCAAATTTTTTTCTCATCCGCTTTCACCCCTTCTCTACAAATAATGTCTCCCACAAATGTCAGTTCTGTAGCTCCAAAAACATATTTCTGTCTATTGCATTTCAAATTTGCAGCCCTAGTTGCCTCCAACACCTCTTGGAGTCCACGATCATGCTCTTCCTTGGTGGAGCCCCAGATGATGATATCATCCATAGGTGTCTACACCTGGAATATGCTCATAAATCATATGTATAGTGTTGTGATACACCTCTGGCACTGTAGCTATACCGAAAGGTAAATGCAGAAATCAATACCTTCCCAATGGAGTACTGAATGTGCATATTTTGAATTTTCCTCTGTTAACTTCAGCTGTCAGAATCCAGAAGAAGCATCAAATTTACTGAAGAACTGCGCATTCGCAAACTGAGCCATCATCTCTTCTCTGGTGGGCAACTTAAAATGTTCTCTCTTTATGGCCTTATTGAGATCCCTTGGATCCAAGCATACCCACAGCTGGCCATTATTCTTCTCCACAATAACTAGGGAGTTCACCCACTCTGTTGGCTCCTCAATTTTCTGTATGACCTGGGCTTCCTCCATCCTTTGAGCTCTGCCTTTAGTTTATCACAGAGGGCAAAAGGCACCTCTCTGCATGGGTGTATAACTGGGCGGACCTGTTTCTTTACCTGAATTGTATGTTCCCCTGGTAAGAAACCTAGGCCTTGAAACAAATCTTGCTATTCCAAGATAAGGTCTTCATACCCTGATCCAGAGTGTACTAATGCAAGCACCTGTTTAACCAAACTGAGCTTTTCAGAAGCTTGTAGGCCTAAAATAGGTGTCAGCTCCTTAGGTACTACAACGAATGCAAGATTGTACACCACATTTTTATGTTTGATGCAGGCTAGGCACTTTCCCTTGACAGATATCTTCGTTCCTGAATAGGCAGTTATGGTTATTATTGTAGGCCTCAGTTTTTTATAATTTTGCTCTAGTAAAAATGTTCACCTGAGCCCCTGTATCCAGTTTGAATGGTATCATTAACCCATGCACTTCCAGTGGCAGGATCCAGTCCTTTTCAGTCGCTCTGCTTGATTCTACTGTATCTATATAATACTGTCCTTCTGGACTACATTCAACCGTATGCACCTGGACGTTATGGGCTTGCACTTTGCAACATTTGGCCACGATTATTCTTACCACAATTAAAACAGGGCTTTCCTAATGCAGCACATGATTTGGAGCCATGCTGCATTGCACACCGGCTGCATGCTTGCCTGTGCTCCATCTCCATCTGCCCCTTGGTAGTAGCTGTGGTAACCTCCATTTGAAGTAGCCTTTTCTGTCCATCTTTACTACATATTGCATGGACACCATCCTCAGCTGCATTCAGCTCTTTGGCCTGAGCAGTTTCAGCTGCTCTAGAAATCAGTATAGTTTTTTCAAGGGATAGGTCTCCTTCGTGGAGCAGCCTCTCTCTTAATCCATTGTCTATAATGCCACAAATGATTCTAGCCCTGATCAGAGAATCTGTCACATCCCCAAAAAGACAGACTCTTGCTGAGCCTTTTAAACTCTGTGATATAGTGCTCTATGCTTTTATCTGTTGTTTGCATGCACATAAAACATTTATGCCTTTCAAAAGTCTCATTGCATTTTGGCACACGATATTCTTCAAATTTATTCATTATCTCATTTAACTTCATGTTTTGGCCTGGAGCAAACGTAAAATTGTTGTATTTCTTCCCTTACCGCATGCAGGAAAATGGATGATTTAACTTTATCAGTTCTCTTCTGCTCCTATAGCAGCTAAACACAACTCAAACCTTTGTCTAAATGGTCTCGAGTGCTCAGCTATATTGCCTGACAATGAAAGGCAAGAAGGGGCTTGCAACGCATCCACATCTCTCTGAGCTGATGACACTTCTGCCTTGCAGAGAGGGGACTGTACTCGCAAAGGCCTTTGTTCCTTGCTGAGTGTAGCTCTGAGGCCCTGAATTACCAGCTTTCTGCTAGGGATAACACTGCAGATCCATCCAATCTTCCCCATTCATCACTCCTGACGCCATCTAATAATTTAGGTCCTGCAGTGAATAAGGACAACTAGGAATGAGGAAGAGAACAGACCTTTAATGATACCACAGCATGGGTTCCTCCATCTGGATTTCTCCAACTCCCCAGGGATCAGTGTTCAAATTCCTCCCACGATAGGAGGGGTGTAGGTTGTAGCCGTGTTGGTCTAAAGGACACAGGCAGACAAGGTTCTTTGCGTGAATCTGTTCTCTTTTATTAGATCAACTTAAATATTTGGGGAAAAAAAAAAGTCCTTGTAAGGGACTGTCTCCAAAGTCTAACCCTTATGACTAACCGTTCATAAAGCAAGCAATGAGAGAACTGAAGCAGGTATCAACTTGAACTTTGGTTTCCCCTTGGGCATTTATGCCTGAAGAGGAGGAGCAAACTTAAGCAGAAGATTAGACCCTGTTTTATCTTTCCTCTCCACCAAAACAGCAATTGAGTTACTAGCCAGCCTTTCCCTTCTAAGCTTTCTCAGATCTAACAATAATTTAGCTCTTCCCCCCCCAGGGTACTTCACATGTGTTGAGAATCATTTTTATGGGTTGATTGGTAGCAGATTGGAGTCATTTTACACAAACTCGAGAGCTCCAATTAACTGGTTACTGTTTTTACAATAAAGAAAAAAAAAGAGTCCAATAACA